GCGTCGTCAGAGCTGGAGCCAACTGAGTAGTTTGGGTAGGTCATTGCGTTGGATGTGATATAAAAAGGTACGGATATAGAGTAGAATAGTTCAAGCTGTATGTAAGTAAATAGTTGAGTTATTTTGCCCAAAAATAAAGTTGTTGCTTTTATACTTTCCATGACGCGTTGAGGATAATGATACCAAACGGCAGCTTCTCTTCAAATAGTGCTAAGTAATACCTCGCCTGTCATTTCGTAAAAGGAAGTTTTTAGAAGTCAGCAGCATGCTGAGCTGTACCACTGCTGAGTGCGCGATTTTTGCTTTCAGTGTTCTTCCTTTAATCGTTCGTGTCCATTCATTACTAGCAGTATAAGTATAATTAGCACTGCTGAGCACGCAGCGTTTAATGCTGCGAACCAAACCAAAGGCACGTCAAAATTCTCTTCTCAGCAATCTGTACATACGTCATTACACAATTGATACAGCAATCTTTTTTCCGGCATTCTCTGAAATTCCCCCACCAGATCAGCGATTAAAACACATTTCATACTTTAATTCAACAATCAACCACGCACGGTCATACTGTATATCCACAATTGAAATAAAACACATTTTCTATTCACAAATTTCGCTATGCACTACAATAATTACGCCTTCCCTTCGATTCACGCGATTATCATTGTAATCTTGTGTAATTCCATCCCTCTTGAAATTGTAGTTGAAGAACTCGGTTCTAATCTCGGTTCTCGGGTCGGTTCTCGGGCCGGGTCGAGTCGGTTCTGATGTACATTGTACTCGGGACGGTTCTGGCAGAGAACCGTCCCAGCCCAGCCCATGAGGACCCTTACTATAAGCTTTGAATTAAACATAATTAAACAGTTTAAACAAGTTTATACAAAACCTAAACGTATTATAAGAATTAAAAAAAAATATAAAAATATCTTAAACATTTGAAAAATAAAAAAAATTATAGTATAATTTTTTATTTTTTTCTTAAATATGTTTAAACAATTATATATATTTAACTAATAAAACCTTTTTTAAACAACTACTAAGAATTAATACCCTAATGGCTCATTCCATTCGCCACTATATATAAAGTTACCCTTTCAGGGCTAAAAGCTTCCCTCGGGAGCTAACTTTATATATTATTCAAACTTAGGAGGCTCCTGAGATTAAGGAGGCTCCTAATAAATAAAGGTATATAGTGCTATTGGTACACCAACACCACATACCAACACCCCCCTCCCTACACGGCCCTATCCTCGCTACCGCTGTGGAGGTTAACCCTTAGTTGCTGTTTTTCATGTGAATAAAGACTTGAAATTTATTTAATGATTGGGAATCAGGCGTCCTACTATTAGTTGTCTAGCTGTTAGTTGTTTATTGATTTTGTTATAGTTAATAAGCCTGTCCTAACCGGTATAGCCATTAATAGCTGATATAATTTTAATCAGAATTATCACTTGATTCATATTCATCGTTATGGAGGCTAGGTTACATCTAAATAATTTCCTCCAAATCTATAGGGTTCAATAGTATCGGATTCTATACATTTTTACAAACTTATCTAAGTTCATATATTTAATAACAAAAATAAATGATTTATTTACAAGTGATTATTTTATATATTTAAATATGAATAATACTATATGTAATCATAAATTTATGAAAGGAAAGAAAGGAGTGTTTTGTTGTTTCTTAAAATACATCATGACAGAATTTCTTAAAATATGTCATAACAGAGATAAATATATTAATATACTAACCAGGCATAGGCTACTATTAATGAGCGGCTATACAAGCGCGTATTTGAAAAGGTGTTGAAGGACTGTGACAAGAATGACGTATGTAGAGGGTTAATTATTAATAAAAACAAAAACAATTATTTTATTTTTATTTTTCTTTAAGTCCTAGAAAATATAAATCTTTGATTTATATTTAGCGACTAAAAGGAGCTATAAACCGGGGGTTTATCCCCCTTTAAGTCTTTTTATTAAATAAAAAAAAGAATTTATTCTTTTTAGTGAAACGAAGTTTCACTCTTTTTAATAAATTAAAAAGTAAGAAGCAAGGCTTCGCCTCAAAAATTGTAAATTTTTGATTTAAAAAAAGACTTGAAGGGTCTAAAGACCCGAAAAGTATTAGCTTCGCTAAAATAAAATAAATTTTATTTTTTGGACTTAAAGAAAAATAAAATAAAAGAAATAGTTATAATAAAATAACCTAATTTTCTATAATTATAAGTTATTTTTCTATTTATACTTTTTTTAATTTCCTTAATTTGAAATATATTAACAATTATTATAATTATAATATAAAATGATATATCCAAAAAATAAAGACATGTTTTTTTACAACTTTTTTTTAAAGTATTTGGCACATCGCAAATTAATAAATGAAATAAACAGGTACATCAAGAAATTTTTAAATGTATACATGCCAAGACATACATACATAATTGATTTTATAAAAATTATTTTAGTTACACCAACTTATTATGGCTATTCATCCAATTAGTACTAGTAAACCAGAGTATAATCATTATAACCTCGACCGGTCCCCTCATCCTAGTAGTTGAGAATCTTCAAAAATTGAATCTTTCATTTATAAATAAAATAAAATACCAAGAAATATAATATTAATTATGGCTGCTTTAAATGACTATCTCCCCATTAATCATATAGTTCTCAAGAAAAACTTATGCAATGAACTTGATACTTTTATAGAATATGAGCTAGAAGAATATGTTCGAAAATATGCTAAAACAAAGTTTAATAAAAAAATTAGTAATTTATTCTCAAATAATTATTTCCTTTATCTATTTATAAATAAGGATTACTGTACACATATGTATAAGAAATTAAAATATGAAGGGCATTTCTGTACTAATAAAATAAGAACAATAGGGTCAAAAAAAGATTATCTTTGTTGTAAACATTCAAAAAAATATATGCCTAAAAAAAGAAATAAACAAAAAAAATAAAAGCGATAATATAAAAGGTTCATTTGAACCTCTTGAGGTTCAACAAAACATAAATGTTCTGCTAGACGAACCTTTAGATAGATATAAAGATAAAAGTAGAAAAAATTAATAAGATAAAATAAAAATAATTCTAGGAAACCCATTATATTTTTCATTTGTAGATATCCTTCCCTAATTAAAATGAATTGCAATAATTTATATATTATATATTATTAGATATATATAAAAGCCAGACAAACCAAGGCAAACTTTCTTATATATTAGGGGGAGACTATGCCATTTGTATTTATATTCCTTGTTAGGTCTAAAAATCTATACGGAATAGTAACGGAATACAACTTTTTTTAGGTATTTTAAAGAATTTAATAGTATTAAAAGATATTTATACATAGTTATTTATTTGTTCTTATTTGAAAATAATAATTTAATATTTCTTTAATAATTATAAAAATAAAAGTGGAAAATATTTTTGTTTTTTAACATATTTGTTTTAATTTATTATAACAATAATGATTTTATAATATTTTGTAAAATTGATATATTTTCTCAAACACTAGCATAATGATCATCCCTCAGTTCCAAGGTTCCAGGGGGTTAACCTATAGTTGTTATTTTATATGAAAACTAAAAGTTGAGAATTATTTAAGGGTTGAAAAATATTCTAGTGGTTGAGATTTTTTTTAAACATTTTATTTTTAAAATGATAAAAATTGAATTTTTAAAATATAAAAAAAATAACATCTGGAAAAAGGAATACCATTGAAATAAATCCAAAGACAACATGACCGTATTAAATGAATTCTTACCTATTAACCATATTAACCTAAGAATCAATTTATGTAATGATTTAACTACATTTATGCAGTCAGAATTTGACCATTTTATGGAAAAAAATATACTTGAAAAAATAATAAAAAAAATAACAAAAAAAAACAAAAGATATATTTTCTGAAAATCATTTTCTTTATTTATCTATGAATAACAATTTTTGTACGCATATATTCAAAAAAGGCAAATATAAGGGTCATTTTTGTGCTAAACGGATAAGAACAAATCTTCTTGAAGGGGTTAAACAAGATTATCTATGCTGTAAACATTCTAAGAATAATATACAGGATTTTTCCTTATAATTGGTGGTGCTTTTTTTCTCATGATGGCGGGGTTCTTTTCTTACTATGGCGTTTGGGGGTCTGTTGATTAGCGGTGTGTTTTTTGTAATTGGTAGAAGCTGAAAATTACAATGGCGGCCTGTTTTTTGTGATTAGCATAAGGTGAGAATTACAATGGCGGTGTAATTTCAACAGATGGCGCCTCAAAATCACCTGTTGATATAACATAGGTGCACCATTACCAAACTTCGACTTTAATATACGATAGATGTTCCATACCAGACTTCAACTTCAAAACTACACGGACGCCGAACAATAATAATCCATTCCAAATTTAAAATGTTTGAATGTTTATACGGTTATTTATTATTACGGCGGCGTCGTTCCATTGTAATATGTTTTCCTGCGGTGGAACGACGCATTCCTGCTTTTTCTGCTGTAGCAGCTATCGTCATCTTTTCCTCAAAATATAGCTGGAAAAGGTTCGTCTTCGTTGCTTAGGTGACGATATCCCTTGTTCTTGGTTGCTCTAGGCCTTCCAAAACTTGAGATTAGACCAGATGGCCTTATAGAAATATTTCATGAATAATTCCGTGTATAGTTGAGACAACATGCATTTCGGGAATAAATTATACTTGGAACTTACCAAGATCCATCTGGGTTATCCATGATAGGATCCACTGGAAATGCCATCTGGGAATTGGGGTCCAAATCTAGGATCGTTTGATGAAAGGGATCGTATATGTCAGTGTCAAAGTCAGGGAAAATATAAAGTGGTATATTGGGATCCATGATGTTTTAAGATGTAGTACATTGAGTCTGTTTCTTTTCATTCATGTTTAAATACTTTTATTTGGACTGGTCAGGTTGGTGCAACTCTGGATTTTTGTGAACTCCAAAAGTTTCTCCGGATCGGCAATTTCTCACTTTACTGCCTCTGCATATGCTTTTGTTTCTCTAAACTGCTTGGCCCATCGATGCATTGTAGCTTTTGGAACAATCGTTCTGTCATATCCTTTATTCTCGATTGCGCATCGTATTATTGCCTCCTTGATTTCCGGATTCTCTTTGTCCCATTTCGTCTGCTTTCGTTTCCAGATTTCTTTTAATCTTGCAATTTCTTCTAGCTTTCGGATTTCCAAGACCGAAGGAAGTTCATTGGATGGTTCATATTCTTCCCCTGCTCGCATTGCATTTAAGGTTCTAATAAATTCCTCTATCAAAGCTTTAGAAAACTGTAATAACGATTGTACAAGCAAGCATACCAATGTATGGATCTTCTCCCTCAGCGACATCAATGGTTTCATGTATTTCTTTGTCGGTAAGAGCCAGGTTGTCCATAAGAAATGTTGTTTGGTTTGAATAGGGAGTCTGTAACAAAGGCGGTAAGGTCCCCATATTATATTAAAGAAATAGTATAGGCACAATGTTGCACACAAGAGATTTTTTGAGTTGATTCACCGATGGGATAAGTCATGGTCAGTAGAATGAGCACTATGTTGGCCCTACGATTGGGACATGTCATGGTCGAGCGAAGAAATAGCATAGGCACAATGTTGCACACAAGAGATTTTTTGAGTTGATTTACCGATGGGATAAGTCATGGTCGGTAGAATGAGCACTATGTTGGCCCTATAATCGAGATATGTCATGTTCGATCGAAGAAATGGCACAGGCACACAAGAGATTTTGGGTTCCAGTCCACTTTTTCTCGGTCCATTCCACCAACGGGATAAGTCTTGGTCGGTAAAACAAACACTATGTTGGCCCTACGATTGGGACATGTCACGGTCGAGCGAAGAAATAGCATAGGCACAATGTTGCACACAAGAGATTTTTTGAGTTTTGATTCACCGATGGGATAAGTCATGATCAGTAGAATGAACACTATGTTGGCCCTACATTTGGGACATGTCATAGTCGAGCGAAGAAACAGCATAGGCACAATGTTGCACACAAGAGATTTTTTGAGTTTTGATTCACCGATAGGATAAGTCATGGTCGGTAAATTAAACACTATATTGGCCCTACGATTGGGACATGTCATGGTCGAGCGAAGAAATAGCATAGGCACAATGTTGCACACAAGAGATTTTTTAAGTTGATTCACCGATGGGATAAGTCATGGTCGGTAGAATGAGCACTATGTTGGCCCTACAATCGAGATATGTCATGGTCGAGCGAAGAAACAGCATAGGCACATTTTGTTCCACATGAGACGGTAATCAGGACGAGATCCGTTCCTTGCTGTGCCTATGCTGTTTCTTCGCTCGACCATGACATGTCCCAAATGTAGGGCCAACATAGTGTTTAATTTACCGACCATGACTTATCCCATCGGTGAATCAAAACTCAAAGAATCTCTTGTGCACAACAATGTGCCTATGCTGTTTCTTCGCTCGACTATGACATGTCCCAAATGTAGGGCCAACATAGTGCTTGTTTTACCGACCATGACTTATCCCGTTGGTGGAATGGACCGAGAAAAAGTGGACTGGAACCCAAAATCTCTTGTGTGCCTGTGCCATTTCTTCGATCGAACATGACATATCTCGATTATAGGGCCAACATAGTGCTCATTCTACCGACCATGACTTATCCCATCGGTGAATCAACTTAAAAAATCTCTTGTGTGCAACATTGTGCCTATGCTATTTCTTCGCTCGACCATGACATGTCCCAATCGTAGGGCCAACATAGTGTTTAATTTACCGACCATGACTTATCCTATCGGTGAATCAAAACTCAAAAAATCTCTTGTGTGCAACATTGTGCCTATGCTGTTTCTTCGCTCGACCATGACATGTCCCAATCGTAGGGCCAACATAGTGTTTAATTTACCGACCATGACTTATCCTATCGGTGAATCAAAACTCAAAAAATCTCTTGTGTGCAACATTGTGCCTATGCTGTTTCTTCGCTCGACTATGACATGTCCCAAATGTAGGGCCAACATAGTGTTCATTCTACTGATCATGACTTATCCCATCTGTGAATCAAAACTCAAAAAATCTCTTGTGTGCAACATTGTGCCTATGCTATTTCTTCGCTCGACCATGACATGTCCCAATCGTAGGGCCAACATAGTGTTTGTTTTACCGACCATGACTTATCCCGTTGGTGGAATGGACCGAGAAAAAGTGGACTGGAACCCAAAATCTCTTGTGTGCCTGTGCCATTTCTTCGATCGAACATGACATATCTCGATTATAGGGCCAACATAGTGCTCATTCTACCGACCATGACTTATCCCATCGGTAAATCAACTCAAAAAATCTCTTGTGTGCAACAATGTGCCTATGCTATTTCTTCGCTCGACCATGACATGTCCCAATTGTAGAACCGGAAAAAGTAGCTTGGAGTGGCTATAAGCTGTACTATTTTGTTTGTGCCTGAGTTTTATACATCCGTAAAACGTGAACCAAAAAGTAAATAAGCCGAAGTCAAATAACATTTTTCGAAATCATTCAAAACATAATACACAATGACCTTGGACACCCATACCACTATGAACACCGAAGATCTGGACTATTACGAAGACGAGGTTGAGATGCAAGAACGAGATGCCATGGAATTCGATATGGCGCTACCATTCGCTGAGGCTGATGAAGAATTACAACTACCACTACCACCGCCATACTCCCCACCAGCATCAACTCCAACAACAACATCAACAACAACATCAGCAGCATCAACATCACCATCAACATCAGCAGCATCACCATCACCATCATCAGCAGCACCACCATCACCATCACCATTACCACGACAACAACGTCGGCAACGTCGACAATACACCAAGGATGATATTGTTTCTGTCCTTCGTGCTTACTTGCGGGAAGGACGTACCATGGAAGAATCTGCGAGAAGGGGTGACATGCCGAGGACAACAGCCGCCAGGCTCATCCGCACGTATCGCCCCCAAATGCCTCCACGACCAGCTCTAGTCCGTCCTCGTCAAGCAAGCATGATCAACCAAGTTGATGATGATATTTTGACGACTACCTTACAATAATAAATACAAATTTTATCTTGCTGGGATTTTCTTGGTTTAATAGTAAAATAGAGTAAACATGTTTATAATTATGATTATGCTGAAAATATAGCATTCACTGTGTTACGCGGTACAGCTGCGCTTTGTCCTGTCTCATCTTCTTTGTCACTTCCATGAAAAAGCTTCAACTTCGTGTTACCAAACACGTATATTGCGGCAAAAAAAAGTATAAAACCAGTACAGCTTTTCTGCTGCAGCTTGTGCTTACATTTCGTTCAAGATCTTTACTCAACTATTACCATGTTATCTATTGAAAACCCGATACTCCCATACGATACCGACGTTGATATCCATGAAGATGAGATGGAAGTAGACGATGTGTATGAAATTGTGTCCGACGAGTGTAGTAGTTTTACTGGTGGTGTCCAATCACTTGTATCAATGACCAAGAGGAAAAATATACCACAGGTACCTAATTAAAATCTTCTTGTTTTACGAGTTTTTTGTTATTAACTGATGGTCGTTAATATGATAGGCATGTTCCACATCAATGTTAACGGATCCTCCAACGCCCACTTCAACCGTCACCGTAGCCACCCAAAAAGCAACAGTGAAAAAGGTCAAGGGAAGACCTCGCAAAAACATTCAGCAAGAAAACATTGTTCCAAAAAGTATGTGACTTATTATTGCTAAAACTTCAGTTGCTTTCAATATCTAACCTTGAACTCTAAATCCATAGGGGCTCATCGAGTGTATCGAGATTCAGAAATAATCTAACTTATCGACAGAATTCAAAACATTACCTTAAACGCTGCAGAAGCTGGACGCGACCTCTTGATCCCTGAACGAACTGCACAGAGATACTGGAAACGCTTTGCTGATGGTGAACCGTATCTTCTAAGCACAATGGGCAAATCTCCCGGTCCCCCACCGACGTTAACACCAGAACATACCACATTCTTCCAGGCTTATTATGACACCAAGTCAGACGCGACCCTGAAAGAGGCACAGCAATCCCTTGTCGATCGATTCGGTATCAACATCACCCAAAGCGGCCTACAAAAGCATCTTGTGAGCAAATGTGGGCTTACCATGAAGAAGCTGGAACGGATTTCCGAATATCGCAACTCGGATGAAACGGTCGCCTCCCGCATGAATTGGGCGCATGCGTTCGAAGCCAGTGGCATGGACTACTACAAGTGTATCTTTATTGACGAAGCTGGTTTTAATATGCACATTAAGCGTAATTTTGGTCGTTCGCGTCGAGGTGCTCCAGCCAGGGCTTTGGTTTCGAGGTCCCGTGGTGTGAATATGACGATCTTGGGAGCGATAACTGGTGAAGGCGTGGTCAACCTCAGCCTTAGAAGACCACAGGCAGTTGTTGGCTCGAAAAAACGCAAACTCCGCGATGGCGAGGAAAAGGTTGTGGGCAAGATCGGTACGCGGGCAGAGCACTATATCAAGTTTTTGGAGGTGCTCATGGAAGTATTGAAGGAAAATAACATGGGAGGAAGAACTTATGTAATGGATAATGCCACTATCCGTCCAAGATCTAAGCATTTCTTCCAACCACCTTGCGTTTCTCGGGGAGCGTTCAGCTTTTCTGGAGCATACACGTTGCGCTTCTATATATTTAGTCTTCAGCCTTCAACTTTCCAGGAATTGTTCAATATCAGTACATTAAAATGCGCCACGATTTGAGACGAACAGCTTATACAAGATGGTGAAATAGTCAAGTAATTTGGTTGTTGACGTCATGCATACAAACAATGACTTCTCATGCTCGAGCAAGGGGTCTAAAAAATTAGACACTCTTACAAGCGAGTCAGTCACATCTCTCGATTATGAATCTATGCATAAGCATTTTTGCATTTAACTTGTTTATATCTGAGAGCATTGACGTTGTGACCATATAGTTTGGGACCAGAGTTTTAGTAAGAATGTTATCAGCGTAAAAAAAATAAGAAGAGAAAGTGGTGGCACGAACATGTTGTTGAAAAAATGATCCGGATAGCGACTGCCATTTCTCCTCCTTCTCGACCATCATCCTTCAAGAGTAAAAGCATTCTTGTAGTTTCGCAGCTCTATGAATCTATGCGGTCTATTAACAAGTGCTCTCGTATCTGGAAGAAAAATATACCTTTGTTTTACGCCGCCATTTCTGTGGCTGCTTACAAATGAGAATACAGCCGTAAGCGGAGGAGATGAGATGGCTCGGTTGTTACGCGCTTAATACAATTTACTGATGAAGAATCATATATGCGTAAGTAAAATCACGCGTATAATAATATTATTATTGCACTGTTTACTCATACATTCTTTAACACCTCGTGCCACGCCAACTCTT